CCTGTAACTTAAATAGTAAAGTTCAACGTTAAAGACAAATCTAGATCCACCCCAATCACAGCCAAGCAGCACCAACGCAAGTCGCAAGCAATCACGCGGAACGAGACATGGACCCAACCCATGAACGTCAATATATTTGTTTAGCCCTCCATTTGGAACCATCCATTCAATATGGCGGGCCCCTCATACAACACTACAACGCTACTATTTTTATATTATCAATATGAATGGAGGCCGTGGAATTGTCTAGTCAAAGTGGACAAAGTCGGGTACCTGCCTTCCCAAAGTAAACCGGCTTTGACCGTGAACGGACGGCTCTGATTTCAATAGGAATTGGTTAGATTAGTCCTAAGGATATCCCAGGGTCCCACTAAGAGCCGACTTACACGCTTTTGAATAAGAGTAGCGTGCCATCGTCCAGGTTTTTTCGCAAAATCCTGAAGTCCTTGTCTTTCGAGAAAAAGAAATAAAGAATGAAACAACTTGGAAGCCAACCCCCAATTTACCTATATATATAGCCTCTTTTGAGCCTTGGTTTCTCATCAATTAAACAGCAACTTCTGCAAATCCTAAATCCTCTTCCAGGTAGTCAGCAATCCATAAAAAAAAAGGAGGAAGAAGCAAAAGGCTTTCCTGGGATTTCATAGTGAAGCAATCATGAACTCAATCTTCAGTTCGTTTGATGCTTTATGTGCTGAGTTCTTGGGACAGGCAGTCAGGCCCTCCTTTGCTTCTACAACCAATAAAGATGGCAGCTTCTTTAATAGCAGAGGGGTGACGAATAAGGTGACTGAAACCATGAAGAAAAAACAAGAAGGAAACGTTGAGAAGAAGCAACAGAAGCCTCCCCGATTTGCACCGGAGCTGGACGGCCTTAACTGCTTTGAGACCCTTGTTTCCTATTAGCGGCTAAGATCGTGATTCACGGGTTTCTGTTGGATTCGGGTTTAAGTAATACAAGTTTGAGTCTGAAACAGAGGAGTTTTAATTTTTAAAGTAGAAACTAATTCATAATGTATATATACAAATTTGCAACTATATAGTTGATTAATTGATATTCTTTAATTATATCCATGGTTGAAATTTGGTCTAGCTTTATTGGATCAACTTCCAAGCAATTTTTTTATATTCTTTAAGCTTGTTCATGTTTAAAATCGGCTTCGAGGGGCAATTGGCTCTCATTCCTTCGCGCGTTTTGGGCCCGATCTTTGGTCTTTGGATGGATTAACCATCATTTGCAAACAACGATTTTGGAGAAAGTTCATAATCTTTGTGCTTGTCAATCTCAACACTTTTCGAAAAAAAAAAAAACCAAACTATACCGTGTTTGTTTTCTGATTTACATTTTCTTTTTTCCCAATTGAACATGGAAAAAGAAAATTGCCGACCAAAGAGAAGGATGAAGTATCTCTCTACTTTTTGAGATTTCTACTGATCTCACTTATTGAGAAAGTAGATAAACTTGAACCTTTACTGTTTGGATGTTTAAAATCAAGTAGAAAAAAAGGAGGGGGGGGGGGGAGAAAGACCTGGAAAAAACTTTGATTATTGGTTATGATAAAAGTATGCAACAATTTCATATCAGTTATTAGCATTGCTGAGTGTAGGTATCCTGTTAAGTAAGCGTTCCAAAAAAGTAAGATGTACTAATTTTATATTGGATAGACAAAAAATTTTGTTGGGCACGTATAGGGATGGCAAATCAATCCTTGTTCGATGGATTTCAATATGATTTTATCATTTAAACTCGATTTATTTTAAATCAGATTTTAGATCAAATTGAGTAACGATAAAAAATTTTAAAATTAAATTGAGATCAAATTTTAAGTAAACTTATCTCGATCCTATCCAAATTGATATATATAAAAAATATATTTTAAATTATTAATTTAATTTAATTTTTATATTTTATATTTATTTAATTTATATATATTAAAAATAATATTTTATATTTTAAAAAATAATATTTTATTAATTTCGAATTAGATTGAATCAAGTACGATTTTATATAATGTCGAATTTAGTTCAGGTATTAAAATTAAAAAATCATCTAATCAAATTCGATTATTAATAATTTACAATCAAATTAAATTTGAAATGAATAAAAATTTATCTCAATTTAATTCGTTATCATCTTTAAATACATAAATATTAATATTATACATCATAATAAATCGATTTTATCAAAAAAAAATCATGTAACAAAAGATATCAAAACTAACATTTTACTCATCCAACTCTACATTAAACACTTTAATAACAGGATTAGACATAATAACCCAATTTAATGACTTAATAAAATGCCGAAATAAAGCATGGTCTAAAAAACAGGTAAAATCTGATTACGCCAAATACTTTAAAAGGGAGCAAGTAAGATGTACACCGAGACGATGACTCACGGGATTGGGTGAGAAAAAAAAGCGCTAAAAAAAATAAATAAGCTACATTAATTTGACATTAAATAAAAAATATAATTGAACATATGGACGTTGGTACTGCACATTCCAACAAATCTGATTTAAAAAAAAAAAAATGATGATGACGTCACAAAAGCAGAAGCCTGTGAGGGGTCCGGGTCCTACATCATCACACCCTTGAAAAAATACGCGGTCGGAATAGCCAGAAAAGTTTAAGTAAAAAACTACCGCAAAAACAGATTGAAATGACGAAGTGATGCTCTGGGACGCTTTGCAACTTGCAGATGCGATCATGCCACAGGTCGTAAGATCAATTTGTAAATACTTAAGTTTGGCACATCTTGTTGTCAGTCCTACCATGTTAATGTTTAACTTGACAACTCCGCCCTTCAAGTACATGCACTAGAGCAGCCGCTAGGCTTAGTTCCGATGGCTCAAAAGCATTGAGTTTTACTAATTCGGCTATGCTTGGTGTCATGGGCCGTACGTTCTTTGTACCAAAATTACATAACCCGTGTGGCATTAAGATTATTTATAATTGAGGTAATTCTTTCTCATGTTTAATTTTTTTATAAATAATTCGATATTTCAAGTCACATATTGTTGAAATGTTTTTGTTTGAATTTTATAAAATCGCATATAATATTTTTAAATTTAATAAAAAATAATTTAATTTTCATCATAATTTTTAATTTATAAATCTTAGAACGATCTCAAATACATATCTTTACTTGCATACATTAAGATTCCGAGCACTAACTTACTTTGCTTGTAAGGACGTACAACCCTAATTTTTACCATGCTAGAATGAGAACCGATACCATACTCACTTGGTTCTCATATTATTATCTCATTTTGGTATAGTGAAAACTCAATACCATGCTCCTCCGAATCATTCGTATGCTATCATACCTATAACCCGAAGGCACTACTTGAATGTTAGTCACAATCAGCCTAAAGTCACACTAGGCTTATCTTATCTCACGAAACTTATATCTCAAGGTTTCAATCCTTAATCTCATTATAGGTTGTTGCACGCAGATGGACACTCGACATCACGTCGATCCTATCTTAAGGACTCGAATGTGCTATTCTAGCTGCAACATACCTTTTTCGATTGACCATAAAGGTCTAACAGTGTGCTTGCCTGATCATCCTTCAAGCTTGATAGTGTCTTTTTTACATAAACATCATCTTATGATCCTTTCGGCTCAAAGAAGGAAAATCGAAAGACATGACGAGCTCTATGTCTAACCTTATAGTTCAATGTAAAGGCACAATACGAGGCTCGTCGATCCCAATCATCATCAAATTTATCATGATTCGAGGAGATATTGTGCCACACTTGTGACTTGACGATGCCCGTCCACTTAGATACCACATGAGCTTAGAACTAGTTTACTTCAGACTAATCAAACCCCTGCTTACTTGTTAATCCAATGGATAATAGAGAGCTAACATCAGTCATTTTTTTATAAATAACGTAACAAATTTTTCAATCATCTTATCAGAAAATCGTAAGACTATCTGAAATAAGGATATTTTTCTTCCCAATCACCTCAAGACCTTTATTCAACCAACTCAGGTCCAGTGACCTGTCTCTTGGCCACCATAATTTTGACATTTCACTCGTTACTTCACCAACTCACTTGAGAGTGCTCACATACGACTTAACAGATAACACCTGATTGGCTACTTGATTCCAAGATACTCACTCACTGGCTCATACTTGCTCACGCATCTCAGAGCCTATGGTTCACACTATCCACACACACTATCAATAACATATTCTTGTGCTTAAAATATTCACGCACAATTCTAGGACAACTATCCCGATCACAAGGCATCATCCACTACTCGATTAAGGATTAGTCATGGCAGGATCGAGATACACCAGGCCTAACCATGACACTTGGCTTGTATTAATAATTCGGAGTGGAACACTTTTTCCTTTTATTTTTCTTTTAATGAGATTTGCCCTGTCCTACCTGTTCGTTGTTGATTCCGACTCTGGTTTTTCATGTATTTCATATATATGAATTTTCAAAACCCAAATAACCACCGGATGCCCGGCTCAGCACAAAACGCAGAGGTAGGCAAAACAATGACTGAATAGCCCAGTTTTACCAGCAGTACAGTTGTAAAATAGTGTGTTAGTTTATCAAAGATACCGAGGGTCTTAATTTGTTAGTAATAAAGATTAACCAGCTTGTAAGTAAGGCAATCCCAGCCTCCAACCTGCCTATATTTCTATCACAGTATGTCAACCTAACCCAAAAAAAAAAAAAAAACAAAGTGGATAACAACTGATCTCTGGCACGTAAATAAGCCCAACAGCGAGTTAATTAATGAAAGGATAACTATCTTCCACTCAGCATCAGTCGTGAAACATGACTAATCACAGAGGGGACATTGACTGGTTTGCTAAGAATCGCTTTGTTGTCATGAATTTCCATTTAGAAACGGCAAACTGCTTCTATAAATCAGAATCTAGCGATTCACCTTGCATTCTATGCTTCCTAAAACTTTTTGCGGACTATAATCAAGGGAGAAAAAATTATAAATGTTCAAATAGATGAGCAATTGAAGAAGAAAGGGAACTCGACTTCTGTTATTTTTGCAGCATGAGATCCGTTTTTGACATGGCCATTTGAAAAATTCAACTATCTGGTCTTTTCTATTTCACCGGATCCAAAGTTGCTACATGGCCCAAACATTAGCAAAACTAATACAAATCTTCGAACTTTAATCCTTTAAAAGCAGGCAAGCGACAAGATTCATCCGTGGGAAGCATCTCTCTCCATTGCAGCAGCAATCAGCTTCGCTGGCTTCCAGGGAATGATGACAAAAATATTCTGAATTACAACCTCCTTCCAGTTTTGGCAAACCTTCGGGCTACTCCAAATATAACAGCTTTGGTCAAGAGCCCTCGATCAAGGCTCCAAGCAAGGGCAATAGCCCCACCAATAACTAGAAGTTTGGGAATGTTCTTCCCCACCGGTTTCTCAGATGAATTATGTGTTTGAAGCTCTGATGAATCATTACTGTTGCTTTCCAAGGATCTCAGGTACTCTGCATTTACTTTAGTGTTTATATGAGCCATGACAGCACAATGGGGAGGGGGCACTCCAGATGCTCTCTCCTTCTGATATGCACGTAAGCCAGGGTCAATTCTCTTGACGGTTCCCCACATACCTTGCCTAACTCCAAGCTTTGCAATTTTCCATGGTATACCCATATCTTCATGATGAAAAAGTAACACTTCGCATGCAGTCATCTGGCCATCCCCTTTCCTTGATTCAACTGTATGAAATGTAACACATGGAAATTATTGACGGGCATATATTAACTTAAACATAAATAGTCCGTGATCTTCCTAGGAAATCCATCTAAAGGAAGAGTTAGATAGTCTCCCTTTTCTTTATGGTTGGTACCAAATCAAAATCAATTTTCTATTATTCTAGGAAAAAGCAAATTTAAAAATTCCTAACAGCACAGCATAAAATGAAAAATAATTTAAAACTAAAATTCATGATTTGAAGTCCAATACCTGCACGGATGCACCAACTTGAATAGAACAAATCAACACGCCTAGGTTTGTTTTTTCTTGGCACAGAGGCATATGGTACTCCCTGAAATGCAAAGAAACATGCTCAGAAGTTAACTTCTGCACTTCGAAAACTAGACAAAACAGAGTTAGCAACATGATGCTGTCATGGCATGAACTGTTATAGTAATTGGCTTATTATTAGGCATGGCATGAACTGTTATAGTAATCTGATTATTATTAGGTAATAAGACTCAGTTGAAACGAACCATAAAATTCATAAAAGAATGTTGTTTCCACCAAGCAATTATCAGATTAATGCAGCTCAAAGCTTAGGAAACAATCTCACATAATTTCTTTCCCTAACGAGGTTAGAACAGTTTTCCTTTTTTGTTCTTAACATAAAAAATCTTAGAAACCTTAGAAGGTATGGTATAGATAGGTATGCACACTAAAATTTGATATAAATATTGTTTGTAACCAAGTTATTTCTTACTATGAATGCTGTAAGAGAACAGAATATTGGGATAGGGGCTGATCCCCTAGCCTGGAAAGCAAAAATAGGAATGGCTTGTTAACTTCTGGACTTTGAATCAAAGCTGAAAACCAGGCAATGGTATACGATGATTACCTTAGTAACACAGTAATACGACTGCCCAGACTCCCAAATCCGACGACCTATTATGTATTCTCTGTCGCTACAGAAGAAGGGAAACTGAAAAACATAGTACTCTTTAAAAAATAATGTTACACAACAATGAAAATCAGCCAAAAAAAAACAATTAGAAATTTTTTGCGAACCTTGCGAACCCAGTGGACCACCATGGTTCCTGTAGTGGGGCACTCCTCCATAGTTGCAGCACTAAGAAGCATAGCATCCCAATTTGGTCGAAACTCATCAGCCCAAAAGAAATCCCTCACCATCTCAGGAGTGGCATCATCAAAAACAGTCCGGCTACGATATTGTGTAGGACCAATCTAATGAATGATAAAAGCATAATTCAATCAATCAAATGAATGACAAAAAAGATGCAAAATAAATATAAATAATATAGAAGAGGACAAACATACATCAAGATCTCTTCGCCAAGCCTGATAGCCCATAGTTGGCGTATCCCGATCCATCATGTGAATCCAAGCAGGACCTCCATCTTTTTCTTCAACTAATTTAAACAAATACTCTAAATCCTCATTTGTCACAATACCCGTTTTTTCCTTCTCAATCAGTGACGAACTGCCCAATTACACAAATATTAGGTGTTAGCAAAATCAAATACAATCCCAATTCTCATTAAAATTCCATCTCATATAACATTTACAACTACAAACAACATAGTCCCCAAAGTAACTTTTCAAAACTATTCAGAGTTAAGTAAACTTTCAGATATTAACACCATGGTCTCCAATCCCAATTTTTTTTCCAATCAAAAAGCTAAATTTTTTATTTATAAAAAAAGAAAAAGATAGAAGGCAGGTGATAAAGTTGCAAACCTGCAATTGGAATGAAGGGTGGGTGGCAAAGAAAAAGAATCCTTTGGAGCTCCATCGTCTGAAATCCAAGAGATGCAACTAGATAACTGAAACTTGATCAAATTCAAGCTTGGAATGGAACCAAAACCTGTAGAAGAACACTCTGAAGATGCAGGAGTTGAATTCTCAGAACCAGAACAATCCATCAACATTTCTCTGCCTAAATTTGCCCACTTTGGCTTCCAAACCCATCCAACCAAAACCCCAACAATTACAGCAACCCATAAAGGAGCTATAAACATTATCAGCTCGCACAAAACATCCCCAATTGTGGGTTTCCTTAAAATCTCCAAAAAAACTGAAATCAAACCCATCTCCAAAATTTTTAAAAAAAAAAGCCCTCGATGGAATCGAAAGAGTGAAAGTTAAGCGCAGCGATTACTCAAGGGTTTGTTTGAAGAGAAAAACCCTAAAATCGGACCAAAGAAGCCCAATTTTAAGACAAAAGAGGATTTAAAAAAAGGGGTAGAGGAAAATTAATAAGAGTAGAAGAGTGACTGGAATGAACAGATGAAGATATGAGATTTGCAGTAAGAGAAAAAAAACAGACAACAAGTGATGAATAGATTTGAGGATAAGGATTCGTGATAAGCGGTAGAGAGGCGTGTCCCTGGATTACCGTAGGCCCATCAAAGAACAGAGACCCATACTAGTATATTGTTTTTATTTGATTTTTTATAAATGATATTTCCGTATACAAAACCATTTATTTATTTTTTTAAATTCTTAATCTAAATGACTCTTCTACCCCTTGTGTTTATTGGATTACCATATAAATTCTTTGAAACCCAATGTCATTCACTAGCTTCATTATCATATAACTTATCTAAGTATTTAGTCCGAAAGAATATCATAAAAAGTTTTGAAATACTTATAAAGTTTTTATATAAAAATTATTTTATTCATTATTTGTGAAGTTCTTAAATTTTACAAATAAAGTTAATAAAAAACATATATAATTAAAAATAAAATATATATCAATCTTTAATTTTACTTAAAAATTTAAAAAATATTAAATATAAATATATATTTAATATATTATCAATATATAAATTTTATATATTATAATTAAATTAGATGATATTAATTTATTAATGAAATAAATCAGACAATATTATTTCATTAATAAATTTTTTTAAAATAAATATTAATTTTTATATATTTATTTTAAAATTTAATATTTATTCATTAATAAAAAAATATAATCTACTTGTTTAATAAAATATAAATTTTATATATTAATAATACATCAAATATAAGTTAATTAAATATTATTTTTTTATTATATAATGCTTCTATTAAAGTTTTTATTTACGTTTCTTACCATATCTTTCTTTCTTATCTATCTTGTGTTGATCGAAGGATTTCCAACATTTGGCTGAATAAAAAATTCAGAAAGGGACAAGATTTGGCAAATGCTGTGTAATAATAAACGGGCAAACCTGGATAAATACGTCTGAATTTTCTTCTTTATTTAAAAAAAAATACTCGCTGATTGCTTATTGCCTTCTTGGGTGGGTCAGGTGGCTGCTAATGCTCTGACAGTGAGTAGGCATCTGCCTTGTTTCTCTATATTCTTAAAACCGAGGCATCTCCTCTGGCCCTTTATTAATTTGTTTGCGCTCTCACCGCGTTTCCACGTTTTTCACATGCCTCACTTTCTGCTCGCTCTTTTCTTCTTTTCTATGCTCGTTTTGCTTTAAGTTTTCGACACTATCTATAACTGCTACTGCTGGCGGTACGTATTTTGTAGTTGTTTTACATAAACTTTTAATTTTGTCAGCTCATATATTATAAATATTTTAGAATATGGTTATTGATTAGTACTAACAAACATGCAAAATTTCATATTTAGATCAAGTAAAATGTAATTTTTTTATTATTTTAAATAAATTTGATGATTTTAAATATAAAACAAAAATTTATTAAAAATTTAAAAATAATACAATTTAAAATTTTAATAAAAAATTATATATGAATTGGACTTAAATAAAAAATATTTTATATTTGTAATATCAAGATGAATTTAAGATAATAGTTTTTTATATTTTATATATTAAATATAAAATAAAAATAACGTAAATATATAAATTATCAAAATTAATTTTCAAGCATTTTGGTCCTTTTTATTCTTTATTTTTTTAATCTGTTGCAAATTTCCTTCTCAAATCAAGAAAAATAAATCAATACCTACTTGTTTGCCTAGCGCCTATTCTTACGTGGTACTTATGTTTTGTAAAAATGTAGAAGTTTCTCTTTTCTCATGGTCTTTCTTTTTTTTTCGTTTTCCATTTTAAAGATGTAATTTTTTTTTTCTTTTTGCTTAAAAAAGGAAATTGAAATATAAGAAACTCACTTAAATATAGATCAATCCAGTAAAAACAACTTTTTTTTTTTTGCCAAGAGCCCAAACAAACCTATTGTTTTAGCCAAAAAAAATATAAATTCAAAACAAGTAATACAGTATTAAAATTTTAATTTTAATATTAAAAAATTTTCAAAATTTCGTGCTAAGATAAAATTTAATATTTTAATTTAATTTTCAAATTAAAATTTTACATTTTAATTTAATATATTGATATAAATTATAATATGATAATTATCATATTTTATATCTGTTTGATATGAAATATATATATATATATAATAAGAATACATGACCTGTTAATTATAATTTGAACTTATTTATGCGTGTGTCCTTTGAAGAAAAAAATTTTTTTTTCTCTTTCGAGTGATTGAATTTAAAATATTAATAAGACTGCCTAACTTTTTAATGACAAGGCTGCGGTTTTTAGGCAAAGCTCCAGTATACATAAAGTATATAATCTCGAAAATTATGACTTAAAAGATCTTCCTAAAATACTAGTAAAAGCTACCCAATGTAGCTTAGAAATTAGGATTCCTGATAAGAACCGACCACCATGGAATTATTAACATTATTTGTCAAATTACCAACAGCATGTACTTTTCTCTTGATTGGCCTGGTAAGTGGGACTCTCCTCTGACTTTTACCAGTTATTACATAGTGTGCTTGAGGCCTCATGGACACGAGAAGATCTTCTCAGACTGAAGTCCATGCTTTTCACATGCAAATTTTGTATTTCTCGTGGAATTGGAACAGGCCAACTGCCTTTTTTTAAATTTAGAATTTTGACCCTCTAATTGTAATACACCAATGTTTTTTCGACTATGAGGGAGGGCATTGTTTGGACGGAGAAAATGCTCTTTGACTGTGTGCCTAAATAGGGGCCAGACCCTGAACTCGAACGTGAAAACAGTGGTGAAGATGGTCCATTAATTTTTGTATGTGTTCGTCATGTTCATCATTTTTCATGGAAAGCTGTTGATCTTCTCTGGGGGATGGTCTATTTTAAACCTACCTATAAAATCTCTTGAGATTTCTATGTATCTTGCATACTATTTTGACTGGCAACACTGACCACAAATCACACTTCATTTTCCAGGACTAGAACACGATCTACACGTTTAATTGGTTTTTCACACTTGTGATTGACTATGCAAATCAAAATGTAACACATGGTAACGCCAATCCAACATAAATTTGTGATGCATGAAAATTGCATTCCTTTTTGGCCACTTTCGTGAACTTGTGATGTATATAATTGCATTACTTTTCAAGATCATCCCAATAGATTACGAAAATGAGTAAATGATATTGTTCAAGTCTAATTAAAAAAATACTACCATATGCTTTTTTGATAAAGAAAATAGCATCTTGAAATAAAAAAAAATTATAAATGTTAAAATTTAAATTATAACTCTGTTATATCAAAATTTTTGAAGGTCGTTAGATTTCTACTAAATGTTTTTTCTCTTCGAATGTCACTTATTATAATGTTTTATTCATATTTGAATGAGAAAACTTTCGTTTTAAGAGTGGGGATTCTCAAAATGATTTTGGAAAAAGATTGTAATTTCTACAATAAAACAATGTACAACTGTTCTTCATTGACACTGAAGAATTCCGCCAATGCATTTGCTCTGCCGTCGTCTAACTTCCCTTTCGATTGATCAACAAGCTCTCATGACTTGGTCATGTCAACATCCTTAAGCCTACATCAAAACTTAAAAAAGCACCATTTTGTGGGCCCAAAAAGTATCCACTTCACCAGGCTAACATTGCGATATGGGTCCGCCTATCAATGAAGGAAAACATCGCTGCAAATCATGATGTGCTTGACCCCGTTTAAATGGTTTTGATCAACCTTCTAGTGCTTTAAATACATTGTACAACGATGCCAACCAGCTGTCGTCAATTTCACTTAAAGAGAATGACACTTCAGAACTATAAAATTTTCATTTTCTTTTCTGAAAATGAGAACATGTGCGGTGATTAATTTAATCCTGTACGAACTGTCCCGAGACATTGATAGGCAAATGGCATTTTAGGACTAAAAGATTTTCATTTTCTTTTCTAGAAATGAGAATATGTGCAGTGATTAATTTAATCCTGTACCAACTGTCCCGAGATATTGATAGGCAAAAACGGGGCAGACGGAGCTGTTTGACGCACAGCATTGATCAAATAAACACAATACTACAACCAGGTTAATGGTATGCTTTCAGAAACTGGTATGCCAGATGGCCTCATCACCCTCCCCGCAACGTTGGTGCACCTCCTCCATTCTCTCCACGGACTTGCAAATGCCACTGCAGCTCCAATCAAATGATGCGCCACAGGGATTCCCTGCTTGAGCTTTCCACTCACAATCTATCAAGGAAATTTAAACATTGTCACAAAAAGATTATTTCCGTACACTCTCCATGGCAGGAGAGAACTAAGAATACCAAGAACACACATTCAAGGAATTAATATTTAACTATAAAGATTCAAACCTTTTTAGTTTTCCTTTGGAAAGAACATGAGCACTATAACTTTTCTCCATTCCTCTTTTTTCTTTAAATTTCTTTAATTGCTGATAATCTTAAATATCTTGTTTGAGAGCAAAATATGACATGCACTTAGAAAGTGCCCTAAGTTTTCAGAATCATGGCTAACAATTTCTCCTGTTTCCATAATTGATCAGCCAGTATTATTTTCAGACCCTAGGAATAAAACTTAAGGATCGGATACAGAAACTTTATAGGAAGAAGAAAGCAGAGATAACCTATGTCAAGTTGCTAGATAATTTTCAGCAATGAATTACAAATGACATTTGAAAGGCTAATAGATTGCTTTTGGCACATCACAGCAATTATAAAAAGCTAAAACTATCAAATCATGAAAATAGCCCAGCTGCACAAAAGGGAAGCTTAATGGCTACCATCTTACCAGGGGGAGTACCACAGCAGAGACTTCTATCATCTATATGCTCAACATCAAGACCAATAAACCAGGAACCTAAGGAGACGTCTTCGTTAGCATATCTATGAAGTACGTGCCTAGACAGAAACAAGCATATAATAATAACAGGGTCTTGAATAAAAATAACATTAATAACAAGATATTAACAGAAAAGGCTTTACCGATTGACAGAGATATAGGTGGCCAAGTCTTTGGAGATTGCATATATTTGTCCAGTTGCATGCCTAAAATACTTGTTTCCCACCTCACCAAATTTCCAATATTCTGGTTCATGGTACTTAACACCTCTGCACACAAAGAGCAAGAGGTAACTATGGTGGGAAAGAAAAACACAAATGATAATTGGAAAATTTTACAAAATTTAATCCTTACTTCTGAGCCAGAACAGGTCCAGACTTCATGCAACCAATATAAATACGGGGTTTTGATCTGTGATGGACCAGTGTAGAACCCACCATACCTATATAATATTCCATATCAATTTAGTAACCATGATACAGATCTGTTAATGAAGAAGAAATGAAAGTGTTGAGAAGCTTAATGCGACTGTACTAACCCACGTTTACATGTACATCATCATCGACTTTAATATAGAAGTCAGCATCCCACTTAGCAACAGCTGTGGAAAAGTATATTTGAGTTTTTGATGACAGTTCATGGTAACCTTCAATGTGATTCTGCCGAACAAAAAATGCAATTCTACATAAGCTTCACAGAAACTATAAATAACTTTTGTTTTGTCTATAATTTGGCATCCACCAAATATTGATAATAGAATCCTAGTTTCAAATGCTTCAATGTTCAAACAATAATCTCACCATCCAACCTATCTTCATCAAAGTGCTCATCAAGATAACTTTTGGAACTACTTGGAATATTTTACAAGCAAAGAACAAAATCAAAAACAGGTAGAAGTTTCTAAACAGGGTCCAGGCAAGAAGTGAGACCAGAGAAGTGGTAGAGGTAACTACTTAAGTCAAGTAAGTCTTAACCCCAAACTAATTGGGAACTAGATTACTTTTTCTCCTCATTCCATCAGATTTAAAGCCATACTCTAGTTATATAAATACATCTTTGTTGGGAAAAGAAAACTACAAAAATTAGTCTTAACCCCAAAAATTCCCCAGCTTTGTACGCGAAAATTAGAGAACATAATTCATCAACTTGGTCCAAGGTAGATAAACAGGAGCATACCAGGTGCAAAAAATCCTTGTGTTGTTCTTCTTCTGCATCAATAGCACGATCCAAAACGCCACCAGGGGTTGCACTGAGAACCACAGATAAAACATGTTTCATCAAAACTATCTTTCTAAGAAAGCTAACTAGCATGACAAAGTTAAAAGCTTCAAACTTTCAATTGAATTTACCTGTGTCCTATGACAAATCGCATTATAATTCCCTTCTCTTTCTCCAACCTCTTTAACTCCTCCCCTAAGAACAACAACCTCAAAGTATAAATAATTGACTAGACCCCAGAAAATGACTGGTATAATGCCAAAAGAGTATTGAATCAAACCTTGAGGCATCCAAGTTTCCCTGATTGAGTCCCTTCGTTTTCTACTGCTGAATGCAGTAATAATTCCCATAACAAAGAAAACTTTCCGGCGTTCCTTCCAATTCTCAATTCCTGATTTTGTAACCATTGGAGATCCTTCCTCACTATCTGCTTTGGCAGCTCTAGCTGCAGCTAGCTGCATCTCTAACGAGGAGATTGTTTTATCTAATGTCCTGAAAGTATGTATCACACCAACCATCTTAAGTTTTAAACACATTTTAGACACCCAAGATTTAAGTTGGGCCTTCAGTTCAAAGATAAAACCAAAACAAAGATAAGAATTTATTTGTAAAGCATAAAAGTAATCCATAACCTATTAAAGAATACTCCAGCAAGACATAGAAACTTACATAATTACGTCATGGGTTTGTGAAACTTGAGAAAGAATATCACCTGCCTGAACAGAAGCATCCTGTTATAATATACAAAATATCATCAAGATTCTTTGCATGCAATATACCTTATGACAACTTTGTACTCAAAACTTGCCTTATCACAATTAACTATGGGGGGAACTTCTTTTCTCTGATGTTTCTGTACCAAAGTAGCCTCCTCATCCATTTTAACTGGATCAGAAATAGCCCAAAATCTGGAAACAATGCCATACACCACTAGTCAATGCACACTTGCATACAAAACTACCATTAACAAACAAATGCAACAACATATTGAATTAAGAAATGCAGACCAATAATGAAAGGGAACCTAGGAGTAATCCCACCTTTACCAGGGATTGAACTAAAGAGACAAATTCCTTTCAAGAAACAAAAGCAACGACAATTGATAAGAACAAAATTTGATGCATAAAGAAAATAAATTATATAAAAGAGAAACCTAAGTAAAGTGATAACTCGTAGCTGCATTAAAATCAGATGACAACTTAATGCTCAAGTTTATTGGTGATATACCGGCTTATTAGAGTTCAAGAACCAGTTTACCCTATCATCCAAAAGCAGTTTTCGTTTTCAGAGATATTTCTTTCACTAGCTGCCACCGGCTTACTATTATCTATATTGATAATGCTTTTGAAATCTAACAAATACTAAGTATCACAGTTAGTTCATGCCCATCAACAAGCTCCTGGCTTTAGATCCAGAGTATAAAATCAACTTTCAAACAATCCAGCTCCTAAGTACAAAGTACAAACTCCTCGTGCTGCAGAAGTTACAAAACCAAATTCAACGAGATTAATCTCACTATTCCCTAGAATCATGCATTACTAAATCTGCTCCAACCTCCATGAGCTACCACAGAACAATGGAACCCGCAAAGCAAGCATAACCCATTCAAAAGGAACAGCAAATCTTAGAGACCATAAAGAGCTTCTAACGGGTAAAGCCTTTAAATTTTAAAAACCCATTAAAAATGAACAGTAAATCTTAAAGTTTGGCACTTCAAAACAAGATCTTGATCATTCATATTCCACTTAGAGAAGAGAGAGAAAAGAAAAACCTGTTGACAACAAGTACACCCAAGAGGAAACTGGCAATGCAAAAGAGAGAAACCCATCTGGTAGACACTCCATTGCCAGTCTTTTGAGGTCTACTCGAACCCATTGCAAAATCCTAAAGAGCTTCGGCTTTAAGGAAGCTTCTTCTTTTTTACTCTCAAAACTTTTTAAGTGTCACGGAGAGGAACCCATGAGAAAGAGAAAGCCTTAACAGCAACAGGCAATAACAAAACGAAAACGACAAAATAATTCCTGGGAACTGAAATAGATAGGAATTCAATTGGACTTTTGTATTCAAATTTGGCAACAATTCTCAGCTCTCTCTCAACCCAATCAAAATCACGAGAGAGTGGGCTGCTGGCTTCTTAATTATGTTATGTTATATGCTCCATTTCGTTGTTTTCTTACAAGAAAAATAGCAGTCACGACAGCTCTTTAACTTCCAATAATACCCCCTCTTGCCCTTTCCTCTTTCTTTCAAGTCTTCTTCTATTTTATTTTTCTTTTTAGACAAAATATTCTCCTAATGTCTTTTGTTCAAGGTCAAGTTAGATATAAAATCTCCAATATCATACTTTTTTTCATCAAAATTCCTAGATATTATTTTCAATAAATTTGATAATTTAAAAATTGATATAATAATATGATATAAAAGTTATTTAAAAAAATAAAAAATTATTAGATTTAAAATTTTTTAAAAATTATATATAAATTTAAAAAAATTAAAATATATATTTAATATTTAAAGTATTACATGAATTATGATATATTAATTTTTATATTTAATACAAAATATATAAACATAACTATATAAAATTTCAAATCTATTCTTAGGTGCTTGAACTTGTTTAAAGGATATAGTTATGTTAGGTAGCCAGAGCCAGTTTCCTTTCTTTCTCTTGATCTCTGCCTATCTTTCAAGATTCTCAGGTGGAAAAACGTGGGGCAGATTTAAAATTTTTGGCATTTCATTATTCGAGGTTGATATTACAAGACCTTCCTTAGTCCTTACAGGTTCAGGCCCTCTCCAACCAACAATTCCAGCCAAATGTAGCAAATTTGCTTGTTGCAATCAATTTTTATGGTCACAATGTGCAGCAATCTAATGCAAAATTTTGCGGTATTGCTGATTGATATAATTAGCCAATGCCTTTTTTTTTTTTTTGAGGGGTGCCTTAGTCAGCTACTCTGTTTCTTATATAATTCCTGTAAGCTAAATTAATTTGATGAAGTATGTTTAAATTTTTATTTTAATATTTATAGAATTTATATTTGATATATTATTAGTATATTAATTTTCAGTCAATCAAATATTGTTATTTCATTAATAAATAAATTAAAATATTAAAAAAATCTTAGAAATAAATTCATAAAAAACTCTATATTTATCATTTCTATATATATTTTTAATTTTCTTTATTAATGAAATAATATTTTATAATTTATTAGCAATGTTTAAATATTATAAACTTAAAATATATCAAATATAAATCTATATTTAAATCATATTTTTATAACTATTTGATAGAAAATAAAGACTATTAAAATGATGGGTTCTATGATAAAAAAAAATTAAATCTTAGCAATTTATAGGAAATTATTTATAAAATTTTACAAAATCTTAAAAGAAGAAATACAGTCACCAATGCAGCATTAAGGCTTAACTCAATTAAGACGGATATACTTTAATTAAAATAAACAATATTGTCTTCGGGAAAGGTAAAAAAAAAAAATTAAAAAACAAATGCTACGAAAGGAGAAGAGGACAGTTTGGTCCATACAGAAAAAGAAGAAACTTGGGTTGTCCTGTAGCATAACTTTATGGGAAAATTCAAAATTTAAAACAGAAAGCCAGAAAGGCAGCTAAGCTAAGCTAAGCAGTAAGGAAAAAGGCCAGGTCCATTAGTGACAACGTGTCAACTGAGGAACAAAAGCGGTGCCCATCTTCCGCACGGAAAAAGCAGCGAAAGGGTGAATGAGAGAGGCAGAAAGGGTGTCCGTCCAAAGCTGAGTGAGACAACAAGGACGTGATCATATCAAATCATCTAATTTGGTTCAGGATTTTTTTCTTTTCGAGTAATTGATTCCATATTCGTGCAAAAACATTGTGTAAGATCGCGTGCGAAAATTGCACATATAATGGAAAAAAATCCTTTTAAATAATTCAAATGTTAAAATTTAACTTTTCATATTTAAAAATATTTTTTATTTATTTTCTTTTTTAAAACATTTAAACAAAAAGTATCTCATATCAAATTAAAACATACAATAAATCTTAATAATGATTTATATTAAATTTAAAGATTGATTGCCAGAAAAAAATTGACGGTCAAATTTAAATTTTAAAAATAAAATAATTAAATAATATATTCAATTTTTATTAATTCAACCGAACTGTTAGCTTTTTTTTTACTTTTAAATTTTTATCTAAATAATCTATCTTTTCGTAATTTTATAGGATCACTTGTCACGGGCTCTAATATTAAGTAAATAGTACAACTCTGTAATCCATAGCACTTTATTTGGTTCCCCTTTTTATTTTTTCTTACTGTATTAAGTGTCATTTTACGAATTCCTATTATGTTTTATTTTTGGTCTTTTGTGTGAGTAGATTCCATATTCAAAGGTAGAAGTTAATGTCCTTCACCTCTTCATCTAATAGTTAAGAAGTTTTGAAAAATATATGTGGATACAGATTTTAATCTCACCATCCCTCCTTCCCCACTTTAAGAGATTTGCCTTTTATGAATCCAAAAAAAAAAAAAAAAAAAAACTTGGGAGAGCTGAGATCAGTGCTATGAGCATATGATTAGATGATTTTTGTTAGTGTCAAAATTGTTTTGTGATGTAAAACTCTGTAGAACACAACAATATAAACGTACAAGGGATTTTACAAACTATTTATTTATTTATAAACCTTGGTTGCCTCTAAATCTTGCGAGAAAAAAAAAAGGATATTGAATAAATAAGCAAAGAGCGTGAATTGTGTTCGTTCATATTGATTATTAGATTATGGACATTTCTACTGCTTATGATTTCCAAGTCAATGGGTGCAGAAAATTAATGGAAATATGAACCCCTGGTCCTGGAGCATGCATGATTGGCGGCGAACCTTTTGAGGACTTGGACCAGTTGGGACTGCAACTATGATACAACAATCAAGTAGAACAGAAATGGGCCCACAAGCAGGACGTGAAACTGCCATAGTGCCAGGCCTACTTTAGAACGAGGCTTCCAAGGTCGGTCATTGTACGACATCAGGCCCATTATGTAGGCCTCCCAACAATTGTATTGGTTATCATCGAGCTGATTGAATAAATATTTGTTTCTTAAATCTCAAAATTTTCTGACAGATGGGGGTGCACCTGCAATGGACATTTTGCAATATTAAAAACTAACGCGTAGTCAACGCTTACATAGGCTTTGCATTCAAAATGTTAACGATTGATGATGAGATATATAAAATATTTCGAGTAATATTTTTTAACCTTCATCGAACCAAGTAGCCATGGTGATACAATCGTGTTTTATTTTTAACCTACCTACAAGTTGGATCTTTCATAAAACGTAACGTAATTAACTATTCGGATTAAAGAAAAATATACGTAAATATAATGGAACCTTCATACGATAAATTTAATAAATAAATTTAGATTTTTTATTATAAAAAGGTAAGTAAATAATTTATCCGTATACGGATATTTTAAAGACAACTACTTTATATAATTATCAATAATGATGAGATTTGTAAATAGAATATCGAACTCTATCACTTACACAAAGGGAAGAAAGCCAACTGCTTGGGCAAAAATTCTCTGAAAACAAACCATCGCAGCCCACGATTTCCTTGTATGCATCATCTGTTTCCTATTTGTATCAATTTGACATTGGAGAGGAAGGCAATGACAACAGTTGCTGGGGTTTAACTAATCCTTTAGCAGTTTAGTGTCTCCATGCTGAAAAACTTTATGCAAGGAGTTCAGTTCATTAATATCACCAAATTGAGGAAATTAAACGAAGTCAATAACAATTGAAAATGCCTGACACTGTAACGGATATATTACGCTATGTTGATTGGCTAACTCATTAAGCAAATATTGATCAAACTTCCGAAAAAATGACTAGAAAATAAGAATAAGGAGAAGAGGTGAGAAAAATACTTGCAAACATTAACCCATGGAAAAGCTTGTGGTTTTGATATAAGATTATGTACTATATTAAAGTTGATTTCTATTACATAATAAAAGTTGACACAAATCAATTAAAGTCTGCATCATGATTCGTGATCCATGAACCTGTTGCCCTGCCCGTCCAATCTATCCGCTCTGGATACAAGGTGGATCTACACAAAGGACAAGTAACCTGACCCTCGTTAACCCATGTATCAAGGCACTCTTTGTGAAACACGTGAGAACACATGCAGAGCTCTCTTATCTCATCACTTTTCTCCATGGAATCCAAGCATACAGTGCATACCGTATTCACAACTTGCTCATCATCTCCGAATCTTTCAATGAAGACGCCATATTCAAGAACTGGTAGGTTCTTTTTGATCATTTCTGTCAGAACTTGGACAGGGACTGGAACTAGGGAACGAGATCGACTGTCCATCAATAGAACATAACCGCTGGAATGATTAGCAGAGTAATGATCCTCTTCGGGCAGTGGCTTGAACAGACCCAGATGAGTGAATGCCTCTTTCAAAAAGAACTTGAAGTAGTTTAAAAGGTTTTGCAAGAACATAGTAGGGATGCAATTTTTCATCTTCAAGGCAAGACAGGGAATATGACTTCTAAGACAGAGATCGAAGAAAACTAGGTGCAATTGAAGTGCTTAATGAGGCAGAGAAAGCCTGCTAGGCGTTTCCTTTTTGCTTTTTCACGATGCTATTATTCTATTAATACTATTGGCATTGCCTCGATGAAGCTGACTAGGGTAATTTAATATTGTGCCGGTTGATGTATCTTTCTATTAACATCTTATCGTTGGTGCAAAGCAAAGCAATAAGCAAGAAAAATTAAAAAATAGAGAGATTTTCTATTTCAAATTATAGGAAAGTTAACAATTAGGGACATAAAATCTGCTTCTGACGATTATGCTTCAGGCTATACGTCTTTACATCACAAATTATAAGCTTGTTTGGAATCGAAAAACATTGCCAATTCTAAATTGGTTTTAACCTTTCTACGGTAAATATAGGGTTAATTTAAATTAGGACCTAGAATTCAAAGTTCAATTCAGATAAATTGTATAATCATACAATTTAATAAATTTAAATTTTAAAATTTAGTGCTTATAATACTTTGTCTTATTCACATAATGTGACTTTCTTTAACATAAAATTTAGGGTCATCTCACCTGTTGTTTGCTACGTAAAGCAAGAAAATATTCATTTTTTTGCCAGTGTTTTCGTAGCCGAACCTCTGATGATAGAATCGTGTTGTAGATGGAGCAAATTCCTGTTAAGTGTTCCTTTTGTTTTTTTATTTTTTTAACCAATTCTATATCTTTCGATTGGGCTGCTGCTGGTTGGAATTGAGCCTATCAAGAAGGTTCCACCTATGCCCAATTAAAAATATGATATTTTGGTTTTTTATTTTACAAAATAAAAAAAAAATCCTACCTAAAGTTAGTATTTTAATAAAATGTAATATTGATTATTTTGAGAGAGTGGACATTATTTCCAAAGATGAACATTCAATTTTGAGACAGAAGTAATACAAAACTTTTTTAAAATATAAAAAAAACTAAAATTTAAAATATTTACACTAGTAATTACTAGAATTTAGGAAGTTTATGTTTATAAAATGAGGAAGTTAGACTCCCTTTTTTTTCTTTTTTTCGCTATTTGTAATTTTTTATGTTAACTCATTTTTTATTTAAAAACAAAAAACAAAAGAATTACATTTGGATACTGACTTAAAAAAATCAACAAATGGTAAAAGAAACATTACGACCAAACCTGTGCTTCCATCGGACCAACATTCACTGTTTCACATGCAAGTCTACATGATCCATTAAGTGCTACAGTGTGGATCGCCAGAGAGGACGGGTTACCCGATCTTTGTTAATCCATGCATCCAGGCACTCTCGATGAAACACGTGAGAACAGTTGCTCAGCTCTTAACTTTCTCTATACATTCAAGCATATAACGCAGGTCACATTATCGTCATCCTGTTCCTCATGCACTTTAAATCTTCTGATGAAATAGGCATATTCCACGACCGGCAGGGGTTTTTTACCTGAAAAAGAAAAAAATGATAAAAATTTTATTGTAATGATTTGTGTTTTATAATGAAATTTGAAGCCTATTTATATAGAAGTAAAATATTACAAAATAAAAAATATAATAAATAGAAATAATGATTAAATCAATTCTTATAATTACCTAATCAATATCTAATATTCTTTAAATCAATATCAAATTAATATCTAATATTCTCTAAATAAATATCAAATCAATTTAAAATATTATTGGTACATTACTATAATAATATCATCAATTTATAATATTACTAAAATATTACTAAAATATCATTGACACTTCTTACAAATTCAAAATGATAATGTAGATGCCAACTTGAGTTTGAAAACTTAGATAATAAATTGACCAGGTGGATGTGATTTGATGAAGATATCTACTTTTTTTTATCAACATTGGTAACAAAAACAAGTCTAAAAGTTTGAGCAAGTAGATAATAACAAATAAAGTGATAGTCAATTTCAATATGTTTAATACATTCATGAAAAACATCATTGTAAGCTATTTGAATGGTACATTGATAATCACAAAATATAAAAGTACTAGAGAGATGAAAAATACCCATATCTTGAAGTAGCCATTGTAACCATAAAAGTTTTGATATGGCATCTACAAGAGCTCGATACTCAGCTTCAGTGCTAAAGTGGGACACTACAATTTATCTTTTACTTCACCAAGAAATAAGGGAAAAACCAAGAAAAGAATAGTAACCTATGGTAGAATAACGATCAATAAGATCTCCTACCCAATCAGCATCTCAATAACAATGCAAGTTCAAAGAGGAACTAGAGGAAAAATACAAACCATGGAACATAGTACCTTTAACAAAATGAGTAGATCAAGGAGTAGATAAAAATGACTAACTAGATGAATATCATAGGCAATATATGGACGAGTAACTATTAAGTATATGAGACTACCCACCAAAGTTCGATATAAAAAAGGGTCTAAAAGTGGTGTACTATCAGAAAAAAAAAAACTTTAAATTCTGTTCAAATGGTGATGATGCAATTTTGTTATCAATTAAACCTGTTCAAGCAATGAGATCAAAAATATATTTTGTTTGAGATCAATGTACATCAGTAAAATTATTAGTGACTTCAAAACCCAAAAAATAACCCAAAAGACCAAGATCTTTCATTTCAAACTTAAAATGAAGAAAAGTTTTTAGATTTTGAATACCATTTGCATCATTACCCATAATGATCATGTCATCTATATAAAGTAAGATAAAAGTAGTACCATTTTCAATAATTCAAGTAAAAAAAATAGAATTATGATTACTAGATGTAAAATTAACTTGTTCAAACAATGATATTAAACTTCAAAAACCAAGCTCTAAAGGCTTGCTTAAGACCATATAGAGCACGTCAAATATGACAAACCATATTAGAAGGTATACATGAACCAGAATGTGGGTTTATATAGACTTTTTCGACAAGATCACCATTCAAGAAGGCATTTTTAACATTCATTTGAAAAATTAGACACTTATTAGTTGCAGCAACAGCTAATAGTGAACAAACAGATATGAACCGTGCAACTAGGGTAAAAGTCTCTTCATAGTCAATGCCATATTCTTATATAAATCTTCGAGCAACATAATGAGCTTTGTAATGTTTCAGTAACCTATCAGATCAAGTCATGATCTCGTAAACCCATTTACAATCAATCATTGACTTATTAGAAAGTCATTCAGCAATATCTAAGTATGAGTTTTTTAAGAGCCTGAAGCACTTCTACCATTGCTTGCTACCACATAAGATTAAAAACAGCTTCATGAAAATTATGAGGTTCATGTAATATGGTTAAAGCATAATAATAGTGAAAATCATGAAGTTGAGTGTTGGGTTCCCTTACCCAAGTGAAACAACAAAGTAGAAATGGTATGTATGATGAAGGGATAATTATATCAATAAGAACCTCAGTAAGATCAAACACAGTAGAGTGAAAGAAAATAGATCACTATTTGAGTTAGAAGTACCTGTAATAGTCTATTCATTTAAAAAAAAATCAAAAGATAAATTTATAAAAATACATGAAAAAAAACATGGTGAATATAATGAGAACACATTAGTGGACTTTTTATATTTCAAAAAAACTACATGTCTTAAGATGTGAAGACATTTAAACACTGGATCATAACACCTATACCCCTTGTGTTCTATATCATAACCTAAAAAATAACACAATCTAGCTCTAGGTTCAAGTTTAGTCCTTTTATGAGTAAAAAGTAAAATAAATCAAGCACATCCAAAAACTTTGAGAGAATGGTAGTTAGATACCTTATTGTATAGATACTCATAGGGAGACTGTGTGCCTAATAATGGTGTCAGAACACGATTAATAATGTAAACAACAGTGAGAGCAGCTTTACCCAAAAAATGTTCAGGAATGAAAAAGAAATAAGGAGGACATGAATTGTGTCAAGAATATGATGATATTTTCTTTCAACTCGACCATTTTGTTGTGAAGTATATGAGTAAGACTTACAAGAAAGAATCCATCATCCTTTAACAAGTTACGAAATTTAATTTTTGTATATTCAGTAACATTGTCAGACCTAAAGATTTTTATTTTTTTAAAAAATTGAGTTTGTATCATGTTATTGAATTCATGAAAATTTGATAAAAGTTTAGTCTTTTGTTTGAATAAATATATCTAAGTATAATGAGAGAAATTATCAATAAATATAACAAAGTAATGTGAATCTCCTAAGGTTAGTGTGGGAGTTGGATCCTAAATATTATAATGGATTAAATAAAAAAGAACAAATGAGATAGAATCACTTTTATTAAAAGGAAAAATACTTTGATTTCCAAGTTGACAAGACAAACAATAAAAAATATTATGAGAAACATTACCTAAGACACCAGTGGAAGCAAATGACTTTATTAAGGAAATATATGCATGTCATACTCTAGAATGCCATAAATCTAAAGAAAATTGAAGAGTTGGTTGTTTAAGATGTAGCAATAGTAATATTGTGAAATTTTTAAAGTTTCAAGCTCAAATAGTGTTTTAACCTTATACCTTATCCCAACCTTTTAATCTGTTTAAGGATTTTGCACAATATAGCCATATCGTTGTGAAAAATGCAAATCAAGGCCAAGGTCACAAAGTTGGTCAATAGAAAATAAATTTAAGACAAGATTAGGAATAAGATAAGTGTTAAATATATATAGTTTTGAGGTTTTAATATTACTAATATGGCTAGCTTTTAAGATGAATAAATTTTCTGTTTTAATGATTGGACCATTAGGTACATGTATCTTGCTTTTGAACAAAGAAAGATTAGCAGTCATATGATTTTCACAAACAGTATCAAATAACCAAACATTACCTAATATAGCAGCAGACATGGCAGGAACATGAGATCGAGATAATACTTGATTGAGTAAAGTTTAAAGATTAGTGATAGAGATTGTAATAATCTTAGAAGAAGACTAAAAAATGTTTGGTTTAGTGGTTATTGCTGCAACAGTCTTGTCAGTGCTAGAGTCATTATTTAAACTACCGTTACGATGATATTTACCTCTACATTTTTGAACAAAATGATTAATCCTCTCACATCGTGAATGAGACTTGTGGAAAGCAGAGCTAGTACTTTTTTGAATAGCAGCAGCAATAATAGTATCAACACTATGCTCCAACTTATACCCAACCTAGTTTCCTCATATATAAATTTCATAAAGGCATTATCCATAGTTGGTAAGTGATGTCAACGCAAAAGTGAAGACCTAATATTCTCAAATTCATCTTGAAATACCATTAGAAATTGAATAAGATGAATTTGATTTTGATAAGTAATAAAATTACTAGCATTACTTTCATTCTTGAATTTTAGCTCAAAATTTTCAAGCATAACCCATAAATGTTGCATTTTAGAATGAAAATCATCAACTGACTAACCTGGTTCTTGACCAAAACGAGATAAGGTGATAAAAAATGATATTGATAAGCAAAGGTAATAGAGTTATACTGTGTGGTAAAAAAATTTCAAGCATCTTTAGCAAGTTCAAATCGTCCAAAATGTACATTGATAGAGTAAACAGTAGTGCTAGTAAACCATGTCAGAATTCGATGATTCTTACTTTTTCATTCCTTTAGCCAATTTACAAATTTATTATCGAATTCTTCTTTTTTTCTTTCTAGTGCTTTGCGTTCTCCAGTAACAAGCAGCCATAATTTCATTCCTTTTAGATAACTAAGCATAGCCGTAGCCTACCTATTGTAGTTATTTTTATCAAGGATAATTGAAATTAGTTGTACATTTTCTCATTTAATACCTGTCATTAAGCTCTTGAAAAAAAATGAAATAGAGATGTGGGAAGTTGTGAGTATTGATATAAAAGATGAATTTTAAAGATAGGAAGAGAAACTTAAAAAAAAAATTGAAGTACGGAAGCAAAAATGAAGTTAGAAATGAAAATCAACTAAGAATGAGAATAAAAATATTGATTATTTTAAAATGATTCACCTTTGGAATGAACTATGAAATCGCTCTGATATCATGAAAAAAAAATGATGAAAACTTTATTGTAATGACTTGTGTTTTATAATGAGGCTTAAAGCTTATTTATACAGAAGTAAAATGTTATAAAATAAAAAATATAATAAATAGAAATAATGGCTAAATGAAATCTTATAATCACCTAATTAATATCTAATATTCTCTAAATTAATATCAAATCAATTTAAAATATAACTAAAATATTACTAAAATGATATCATCAATCTATAATATTACTATAATATTACGAGAATATCATTAACTTGATCAACAACGTTGTCTCCACTTGGACTAGTGTTGGAACGAGGGACAAATTTAGGAGATGGGGTACTGTCCATTGAAAGAATATAGTTTGTGGGATAATGATGATCAGCAGAATAAGCTTCTTCTATTGGTTTGATCAGAACCAGGTGAACAACTGCCTCTTCCAACATAAATGTGAATCGGGTAAGAAGATTGAATAGTAATGTTAAAGCGAATGAATTAATACTTGTTGTGTTCATGACAATACAAGCAAAGCTCACGCCTTCCATTGATCTCCTTCAGACTTTCCAGATAGAGATTGGAGAAAACTATGAGCACCAACAAGGCTGAAATAATTCAGCAAATGATATTGTTAAGCTACCAAATGAAAGTACATACGTAAATTTTTAAGACCATACGACAATAGGAAAATGAAATAAAAAAAAATAATACGATTTGAAACTTTAACAAAAATCATATAAAAATTTAACAAAAAAATTATTTTTCATGTTTAACCTATCAATACAGGCTGTAATATGATAATTTTATATTTTATACGTATTTAATATAGAATAAATAGACATATATACATATATTACTAGATTTAATTGAAAGACATACAGGCAATGTGGCTTCGTTTTTTTTTAATATATATATATATATATATATACTGGGGAATAAGCATGTGCTTCCTTCAATATTATCCCCAAACCTTCCCTTGCCACTCTGTTTGTTCAGTACTAAATTCTATTTGAAAAAAGGTTCTACTTGAAGCTTGATGCTAATTCAGGCAATCAAATTTTCTGATA